CTTTACATTGTCTCTCCTGAATTTCTATTGGAACATACCTTAGTTTTCCCATGTTTCGACTTCTTCCGCTAGTTAAACAGTTTCCATTAAATTGTTTATTTATTTTCATCAAGCTCCGGGCAAAAAAATGTTCAGACTTCATTGAAAAACTCCTTCCACTAAATATTGGTGGTACTTCAAAATGGAAGTCAGGCCACAGAAGTACAGGCAACGCACGCCCGGAACAGAAGAAAATGAAGGAAGGCCCGATAGAGAGGCGAGAACAAAACGAACAACCACCGTTTCCTGAGAAGCAGGAGAAAACCGGTTGCCGATGGTCGCCGAAGAGCTACGGTCGCTGTGCGGCGAAATGCAAGCGGCGACTGTCGGTCACTGGTCGGATTTAGAGGCGTGCAGACATCTCGACGGTCATTGGCTGGCCGAATCAAGAGCCGAAGACAGCCGAATGGGAAAAGAGCGTCTACTGGTCGCCGATTGCCGATTCGGATGACGAAGTCTGCGATTCGAGAAGTATTCGGCGCTGGTGGGTGGTTGATTTTGTTTCTGATGCTTAAACCCTCCCCCTATTTCCACCCGCCTAAATGTAAATGGAATATTGATTGATGGGCTGACTGGGTGGTTGAGGGTTATACGAATAAGTATTAAAAACTAGATATTTTTTAGATATATGAATCTGACCATTATTCATTTAAAACAAAGAAAGCAGTTAAACACCTATTTGTTAAAACATAAAAACAATAATGCCTGGTACAGTTGTGCTTGTCAAGTTCATTAATTTAAAGCTAGGCCAGTTGGTAAGTCTCGGTTTTTTTCAGGAACAGCTTGAAACCTACACGTCTTACTTTCATTATTCATTATGAACATGACAGAGAAGAAAAAAAATTGTCTGTACGTCTATTCAAAGTCAGCCATATGGAAAGATATCTTTTCAAACAAAGGCGAAAATGCGGTGGAGCTGTGATGACGAGCGAGCGAGTGAGTGAGTGTGTATGTATAACGAAATTCGAGGCATTTTCGGGGTTGAACCAGAAACGTTGGTTGCGTGTACTGAGGCATCAGTAAGAGTACGAAGTACGTGTCTGAAAAGTACTTGGTGTTCTATTTGTATAGTCGTTTAGGGGGAAATCTAAGAGGGTTCAAGGTCTATATGTTTGAATAGGACATAAATATTTTTTAATTAAAAAAATCAAATAAATAGGTAAAGCATATTTTTTAATTATATATAAAATCTAAATATTATATGGAATCATTTAAAAGGTTTAGATTTTTTTGTTAATATAAAAGATATGTTCTTATTACAAAAATTTTAAGAAAGCTACTTTTTTAATAAAAATCTAAATGTTTGTTTTTTAGCAAATACTTTTAAAACTACTAGAACTAGAAGCAGCCTTTAATAAAATTATTAATTATTTATAATTAACTTGAATTAATTCAAGGCTCCATCTATTGGGCTCCAATATTTTAAATATCTAGCGTTAGTTTTTGGAAGTATAAAACAGGTAACAGATTTCCATAGAAATCCCATAGAGGGCTGAAATGGGAAGATTTCCAACACTGATTGGTTTGGTCGTTGGCTAACAAAAAGCAAGGTTTCCAACCGTCTAAAATAAATATTATTAAGTTAGGAAAATATTTAGTTTAAAAGTTAAAATATATATTTAATTAGTTTATAAGTTTATACAAGTTATACCAATTCCTTTTTTTTAGATATAAATTTAAAATAAAAGTCGTTGATAATCTTAGAAATCTTGTTTAGTTTTTTTATCTATCCAATATTTAAAATTCACCAAAAACCAATAATTTTTCTTGTTTATGAATATTTTTACAGGAATTTCAGATGCTTTTTAACCAACTCCCTGAATTAATAATTCCTTTTCGATTTATCACACTCGCATTGAGTTCTTTTTGTATATTCGGGTTTCAAAGCTCTAAAATAAAGATGAAACCGAATCGAAATCGGGCGATGAAATTATTTATTCGCCACACCCATCCGCAAAATTCAGCTAATGCATCCGCTGAGAGGTGGCCTTAATAACTCTTCGTTACCCAAACAGAGTTAGAATAAACAACTGCAATATTTGTACCCATGGCCCAGCCAGTGCCACACCCACCCCATCACTCTTGGCCAGACGCAATTTGTTGGCTAAAAGTGGCAAATTCATATTGGATATGCAAAAGCGGAATGCCTTTTGATTTTCGGGCCAGCATCAATATTGATTGCCTGCTGCTCTAGTTGGCACACTCTGGACATGGCATCTCTCCTGGTATTTCACAATTTAGCCGCTCAAAATTTGTTATGCCACAAATCCCCAGGAGCGCTTGTCACAACGAGTATCCAGGTGCCGAGGTGACACCTCCCACATGGCTACACTTACATACAGGTATGTACAATGTACATATATAGTGGACCCAAAACTGAAAATCTCCCAACACCGCATCCAATCAGCCCAATCATAAATACTTCATTACCTTTTCGGAGGGAAAGCGCATTAGCTTCAGCTTTGGGTTTCGGCACCCGCTTTACTACATGCAACTGCTGCACATTCGTAATGCTTTTTCCACCTGCCCTCCGAACTCGTTCCTAATGTGAAACGTGCTGCCAGCTAAAATAATCACAACTCAGATTGGTTTGCCAAATTGCTATTTATTAAAAATCAATGCTTCTGGCCACGGACCAGGCCAAAACGACAGCGACCGGACCCAACAACGGCGAATCAGCAATTTCAGCAGCCGTAACAGCGTGTCCGACACCCTTCTATGTCATGTCCCCGGGCTGTCCTGTCTATTTCCCATCCCTAGTGGACGTCATACTCCTACATGCACTGGAAGAAACAGGGCTTTATTTATAAGCACTTTAAATAAAGACCTAATGGAATATACTTTACCACAAAAATATGCCGATTAGAAAATATTATTGTTTCTCTAATAAAAAGCTCCCTAAACTATAAACTAAAACCCATTTTCTCTCAGTGTACTGTGGAGAAAGTGTCCTGTAAATGTTGCCGGGTGAGCCGCAACACTGGACAACAAAATTACCAGCTGGGTGTGGGCGCTGTCTCTGCTAATTGAAATCCCATTTGAGGCGGATATTCCGATGTACCCCGACCGCACAGGGCAGTGTAAGCAGATGCCAGACATATGCCAGACATATGCCACACCCACCCAGTGCAAAAGGCGGGATGGGGGCAAAGGTGGGGGTGTGGCAGGTCCTGGTGGCTGCAGGACCTGCTCCAAGCAGCTGCCACTGCTGTCGCTGCTGGTTTTCAGGCGACATTTCCGGGCAAGTCTGAAGTAATTGCTCGGCAAGCTGTTGCCGTTGACAGAGGTGGGTGGATGGGCGTTGTTGTTGTGTGGGTGGCCGGAGAGGTGGTATGTGGAAGAAGAAGGTACTGTTGTCCGGCCCTATCCTATCCTGGCGTATATGTATGTGGCAGCTTGGTTACCCGGGGACACTGGTGCAGTGGTCAGCTTAGCCGGCAAGCGGCTTACGTTAGGCATTTCGATGTGGTGCGGCGACCACGCGGCGTATGAGGAATGTCAAGTGAACGTGGCGGCCGGAAGCGAAATTCGGCAATAGCATTTGGCCTGGTCTTAAAGTTTAGCACAGAAGAGGGTTTTATTTTTTTCGGGTTTTTTAGAGGAGGAGAGTGGAGTGGGGCTTGGTTACAACAGAAAATCGAATTCGGATGCAACATCCTCGACGCTTTCGCTTCTGCACTGCAGTTACGTGACTTTTTGGGGGCAAAGATTCTTTTTTTTTTGTTGGTGGAGCTACCCCCAACTATGGAGGGAGGACAGTACCTCCGGTACTGTATCCGTAGCCGTGGCCGTGTATCCGTAAACATATCCGGGACTTTGCATCGCAGCCACCGCGCTTTGCATATTAACTAAGTGAAACATTTCGTTGACAACTTTTCAAACATTTGTGCGCCCCTGTGTAAATATTTACACAGCTTTTGGAGGGTGTTGGCACAGCATTTTCTGTACGGAAGGGGGAGTCGGATTTGGCGCCGCAGGATAGCACGGATGCCCCAATCCCTTGCCTCAAGACGTTTAAAATTGAAATTTAAATTCGATACATAAACCAAGAAAATGGCCGAAAGAAAAAAAAAAAAAAGGGACTACGAAAGCATCCTTTTGACCGTACAGCTTAACATATCGCTACGTTTTTTGTGCAATTTGAAATACAAATTTTACACCAGCCTCCGCCCTCTGGAATCAAATGAGCCAAGGCCAATAAGTCTGTCAGTTTTTTTCTTTTTTTCCATTCAGCCCTCTAGCCCTTTTAACAGTCTGTCTGGGCTTCACAGGATTTGTGGGAAATACCCACATATACGTATCCCATACACCCACCTCCTATACACCCACACACTGTATTTATTAAATATTGAATGTTTTCCTTTTGCTAGATGACTATGCCTCTGGCTTTCTGATTCAGAATAAGAAAGAAAAAAAGGAAAAGTTTCCTTTTTTCCTAGGGCCAGCCACTTTTATCCTTTGTGCCTGCAGTAACAAATGGGGAAAAGCCCCCAAAAAGCGACAAAAAGGGGGAAAGTTTAGAACTTTTCGGGGAGTTTCTGTATTTGACTCGAGGCTAATATCTGAATATGCAAAGTCGGATGGAGATATACCCATCAATATGCTATTTATATTGAGAGAAAGCAATAATCTGTTCAGGTTTTTTTTTAACATATTGTTTAGTTAGATACTGTTTTTATTTTAAGTTAACTTTGATGCAATTAAAAAATATTGTTAAGTTTGTAAAAAAAAGTTTGTTTGTTGGCTTAGAGCGGTTTAAATGTTTATTAAAATGTAGAGAAAAAGTTTGTTTTTAATGGTATATTTTCAAGCTAACTTTAGGCAAGAAATTTTAATAAATTCAAGCCCACCTCAGGCTATAATATTCTAGTTTCTTGACTTTATAGAGTAGAACTTTCATAATTAAAATTGTAATAAAATTCATACAGTTCATAAAAACCGTTAAATTAAACCCAAAATAATTAATTTCTACAAATGCATTTTTATTGGAATTTTTTCTAAGATTCAGAGTTCAGAGTATAGTTTAACGTCCATAGATCTCAACGGTGGAGTTGATGCCGCGGTTGACCTGACCCTTGAGGTTAATGGTGGCAAAACGGTAGCCCGGACCGCCAGAGTAAAGGCTGGGACTAGCACCGGAGTTGTTCTTGAAGTTGTCGTACACATAGATAGCCGAAATGTTGTAGAATCCAGGACCCTGATGATAAGTCAATTAATAAAAGATACTTTGGGGGAAAAGTACCATTCAACTTACGTAATTGACGTTCAAATTCCAGTAGTTGTTCTTGATGGGATTACGGACCTCGACTTGGCGGGAAAGAATGTAATCGCCGCTCTTCACTTTGCCCCAGCTGGCACTGTAGGCATGGCCGCCAAGGATCACGGCCAGGACAACGGAGAGGATGAGTACAGCACGCATGTTAGATCGTTATGGTTCACGTATTGTGGTTCGTTTGGTATCAGCTGTGCCAGGTGGTTGGCTTTTATACCCATTTGGAGTGGCATGAGTAACACCCACAATGTTTACAAACGAGCTTCGGTTTTAATTAACTTTTTGTTACAGGGCAGCCGGGCGGGCTTATCGGTAGCGAGTCTGGCGAAAAAAAATACGCCGTAGTGCAAATCAGAGTATAAGAAACCCCCAGGGCAATCAGGCAGGGTCTGATAAGATTACCTGATTCACCTGCTCAGTTCCGTAAGTATACTTCCCTGGAAAAAGATTTTGGGGTCTTATCACCTGAGAAAAAAGCTCTTAAGAACGGAATTGCATATCGGAAAAAAATCTCAACACTGGATTTCGTTCTAAAGATAACGCATTTTAACTGGAAGTGTTTTGGTTTAAGATGTTATTTTGTATTCTTATTTAATCTAAGGGACTTTTTAATTAGAAATAGTAAAAAAAAAGAAAAGGCTTCAAACATTTTTATAAGTGGGTGGTAGAGTGAGTCACTATAGGATCATAGCAATAATAAAATATTCAAAACTATTTAAGTTTGTAGCTTAATAAATTTAATTTTAAACGCGTGTCTTAAATGTTTAAAAAAAATGACAAATTTGTAGTGATGTTATTTCCATTTATCTTGTTTAATTAATGAATAGAATACTTGATCCTATCTTAAAGATATCCATAACAATGGCAACCGAAAACATTCAAATGTGGTTTATTGATTGTGTTTCCTTTTTGGCCAAACAAAATTAAATTCTCACAAAGAGAAGTATGAAGCTGCCACTCTGTTTTGTTAAGTAATTAAAATGTGATATTGCATATAGACAAAGGGATTAAAATAAGCTACTTGTATTAGGAAAGGCTGCGAAATATATACAATAAAAGCAAGAAATTATTAAACTCTCCATTTTCTGTATCATTAATGAAATAGTTTGGGTTATGGTTTCAATTTTAAAACAGATTATAACCAAATATATTCTTAAACTATTATTAATCTTGTTTGAAGCATAACTTTAATCCTGAGCTTGAACTTTCCAACTCCACAGTAATTAAGTCCAGAGTCCAGGCACTCCCGAGTCCAGCTTTGGCTATTCATGCTTGTGGCGATGATGAATCTCCTGCGGAATGCATGCCAGGCATTCCTCGGTAACTAACCCGGCCTTTAAGGACACAACGAGAGGCGTGTCAGTGCCGCCCCCATTTTATCCTTATCGCTCTCTGACAAAGAGATTGAACTGGTGCTCTGGTTTTTGGGCTGCATATTTATTGCAAATTACCAGGACCCCGAAGCCAGTGGCTTTGGTATAAAATCTCATTACTTGCAGCAGCCGTCGCAGCCCCACAATCCTGATAAGGGTGGACATATTTGTCACTCTTTATGAAAGGGATAATTCGCCACGCTCCAAGGATAGTTGTTCGAGAGGGGGTAACCCAACCCCACAATCCACAAAGCTGAAGCAATAGCAGACATGCCTCCGGGGAAAATGTCGTAGAATCGTCATCGCAGTCAACCATTATCCGATTGCATTGTACTCTGGGCTCTGTTCTGGCATTTTGTACTGCAACTTGTTAATCACATTTTATTGACACATCGGTCCCGGCACTCGGGGGAATCGATTTCCATTTTTAAATTGGCCAAATTAAGGGCTGATTTTGCCAGACCCCGGCTTTCAGCCGACTTGGACTGTTTCATGCGTGTTCGCTTGATAAGCAATTTGTGAGGAGTAAGGCCAAAAATTCAAGGACATTAAGAGAAAAATTTTAAAAATATATAATTATATAAAATAAAGACTATTCTATTATTAGCCTACAAGTTTAACAATTTTCTAATCATTTATATATAAAATAAAGAGCTGAGAAAATATATTAGAACATTAAGGAATGTAAGACTTTAAAGATATCTTTAAGGTTATTCCAAGCAAGAAACCCTCCAAAATTTTAAGCTTATCTATTTCTAAGAAATATAACCTTTCAAAAAATGAATACAATTTTCTTGCAGTGTTAAAACACACACACTCGCACACTCATGCACTCATGTATAAGCGTCAGATTCGACAATTGGCAAATTTAAAAGCAATAAACGTACTGAGAGCAAATTTCTGGGTTTATGCCTCGTTCTACGTTTTGCTGTTTTTTAACTGCTTGACAGGGATCGACAGAGTCGGTTGGGAGGAGGGAGAGCTGATTCCGACCCCCGGGGGGGAACCCAGAAAGACGCGTGCCGTCAGTATATTCTGGCACTGGCTGGTTCCACCCTCTGGGATATGTCTGGGATTCCATCGCAAGCTGCCACTGCCATTCAAATGGGAGTTCCCTTTCATTTGCGCTTTCAATGCCAATCGCTGGCACGACACACACCACCCTTCCTCCTCCCTCCTACCGCCTTAGATGTGGATGTGCTCCCCCCCTGTGGCAATAAGTACCCTCCTGCCCTCTCCATGAGTCACAGAGTTCAAGCTGCGCTCTGGTAAAATGTCAAGAGCGGAATGTGCACTTTTGACAGTTTCAGTTCATTCGCCAGCCAGTAGCACCCCTCCCCACCCCCTCTCCTTAACAATTTAACCCTAAACATCCTACCCCCGGAATATCCGGCACACATGGCAACCCTGACACGTACCCCTAATAAAACTTTCTCGACGGAGCCCAAGAACAAAGTCAAATATTAGAAGGAAAAAAAAAATGAAAAATGCCTGGCTGGTTTATTTTATTTTCATGTTTTTAATGTTCACTTTATGCCGTAGAAACCACCCCCAACCCCAGGCCCAAGCCCAACCCCCTTTTTTTTGGCCAAAAATCGAGTTTAGTTGCTAGGCTAAACAATGGAAAAGTGGAAATAATAATCCACACAATGCACTATGGGGTTTTTGACCACTTTATGTGGCATTTAATCATTTTTTGAAAGTTCTCTGATTTAAAAAAAATTAATGGGAATGTATTAAGAAAACATCAAACTATTATGCCTCATACTCAAAATATTAATTATTAGCACCATATGCTAGCATAACAGCTGCAAAGTCAGCTGTTGCATCCGAAAGCACGTGCGCTAAGTTTGCAATTTTCACATAGTGATTTGTAAAATTAGATTATTTGTTTAAAACTCCATTTAAAAAGAAAAATAGTAATGGACACTGATTTCACAGGCTTGTACTACATGTTAAATGTATTAACTGTTTAAATTGTGCGTGTCTATACTAAAATTTTGTCATTTTATAAATGCACCTTTAGCTGAATTTTGGGAAACAAATTTCAACTTTGGGAAGAGTTTTGAAATAGAAGGAATTAAAAGTTTTCAATGCGTCCAAGTGTATGTTGTAGCGTTGTCAATACTGAGCAAAGGCTGTTAGTCTTATTGTGCACTTTTCTCCACTATTGGTGCAATTTGAATTTTTCTTAGATAACCTCACTTTCTCCAAAAGCCGACTTGGTCGCTGCTTGGAACAGCGAAAGGGGCCGGGCTGAGCATCAAATGGCTGTACAATGTTTTTTTTTAACGCCATGCAAATAACAATGTGGATAATGCCGTTTAAAAAAAAAAGCCACCAGTTTTTAATGGAAGTAATGGAAAATACGGTGCTTTCAGTCGGCTGAGTCCGAAGCGTCTGAGTCCTGAAACAAGCTGTATAAATCAGACAGGCGTCACCATTCAAGAAAACACTACCGATTACATTCCATCTGATGGATACATCAGATCCAATTATTTCGTCCTTAATTTATCGAGATGCATAAAAAACTAAAGAGTCTTTTACTTCCAATTGAGGTAATTGAGATGCTTTCGTACGAATACGAAAATAATGTTTGTCTCGAAGATGACGAATTTAACGATTCCAGCTTGTTTTTTTAGATAATATTGATATATTATAGAAAATGAAAAAAAAGAATAATAAGATTAGTACTACTGTATGAAGGAATTTTTCTTTTTCAACTTTTATATGCATTTGTATGGAAGAACACTGAAATCCGGTATTTTAAACTGACAGTTTTCAGGGAAAGCGTTGTCCGATTTGGTTCAAAATTGCTATATCGTATTAAAATAGCAACAAATATCAGCGCCTTAAATTTCATTAATTTACCTTTACTTTTACCAAATCGTTCCTATGGGAGCTATAGGATATAGTTTCCTGATCCGAACGATTTTCATACTATATGTGCCTAGGATCAAATAATAACGATTGGTAAAGTTTCATGTCGATATCTCCAAAACTGACCGAGTTATTAATTAATGCCACAAAAACAGCTCAAAAACCCCATAGTGCAATGGAGCTGCTCCCCCGCCACTGCTTCTATTATTTTGAATTGAAGGCTTACCCCATATTCGAGTGTTTTTCATTTTGAATTTGATATAACTTTAAGTGGCTTTATTTGTTTCAATTCACTATGCCCTAAAATGTTGCATTGCAAACACTTAAGAAAATGTTTATTAAAAGTATGCCATTCTATTTTTTGGCTTTTTAATTGGTTTTTCTTTTTGTGACTTTAATTGCTTTTCCACGTATATATGTATGTAGTATTTGCCTGAAAAGGCCAACTGTCGGCTTGCCTGCAAATAATAAAATTGCATTTATTTGAATTTAATCAAATCGAATTAAGCGGCAAAAAAATGGAACACTAATGGAAAAAGTTTGGTCCTTGTTTTTCCTGTTTACATCACTTTTACATGTTGTTTGCATTATAAAGTTAATGAAATTATGTTTTATTTATAGAACTATGGGGGGTATGCTTCATTAAACTGTATTTGTTTTAAATTATTTTAGTAAAAACTGTTGTGGTAGCTATGGAATGTAAAGCACATTGAAGTTAAGGACTGGCATCTAATTAGATTCTGAAATGCTTGGTATTTTATTGGCAAAAATTTCAGAAATTGCAATGAAATGGTTGCAACTTTTCGTGGCGCCTTTGATAAGGTTAGGGAGTATGTGGAGCTCCTTAAATTCTTATGTACTTTATAAAGAGTATAATAGCTATATTATCTGTTTTATTTAATAATAAAATATTTATTTCATTTGTTTATTAATCTGTCTGTACAGTT